GGACGCGAGCCTAATATGCAGCATGCATTTTCCCTCTGGATGGCCACGCTGAGGCGCTGGAACATGAAAGTGGCTGCCCTTGGGTCCCTGATGGTGTCGATGGATCTGGAACCCAGTTCTTTACACAAACGTGTGGTATTTTTCCCCATGATCCCAAGGTCTCTGATCCCATTGGGACAAATTGATACCGTTGGCTTATGTCCCTGTACTTGCCAATCTTGTTCTCCTCCCTGTAATCAGCAGCTCCTCCCTGTCGCCCGACACTGTGATAGATGTAGGTGTTAGGCAGCGTCGACACAAAGGTATAGTCCCATGCTAAGAGCTTGCCATTCTTCCAAGGATACATGGTGATCCTATCGGGTGGTTTGCTTGGTTGTAGGTATTGTTGGCTGCTAGTGATCGGGGCTCTCTCTCTGCTGGGCATCCAGCTTCAGCGAGAGTTCTCTATATGATGTCGTTGACCTCATTGTGTCTTACATGCCAGCCTTTGGTTTTGGAACAGTTAAGATCATGTAGACCATATTGGTCTGCTTGCCCATCGCCGCAAATATAGGTATATTTTACTTGAATTGGGGAAGCAAGGCGGAGAGCCACTGCAATACGGAGGGTCGGAAGGTCTTGGCGTCGGGGCGTATCCCCATTGCCGAAACGGGAACTTTGAAACTGTTTCGAGGAAGTCCCCTGAGTGAGGGGGTTCACAGCTTGGGGATGGGCAGTCTCCCTGTCTGATGTTACAGCCCTAAGCATGTTGGCTAACACCTTTTCAGCGATGGGGCCATATATATATATATATATATATATATATATATATATATATATATATATATATATATATATATATATATATATATATATATATATATATATATATATATATATATATATCTTTCAACACACCGGCCGTATCCCACCGAGGCGGGGTGGCCCAAAAGGAAAAACGAAAGTTTCTCCTTTTACATTTAGTGATATATACAGAAGAAGAGGTTACTAGCCCCTTGCTCCCGGCATTTTAGTCGCCTCTTACAGCACACATGGCTTACGGAGGAAGAATTCTGTTCCACTTCCCCATGGAGATACGAAGAAATAAACAAGAATAAGAACTAGAAAGAAAATAGAAGAAAACCCAGAGGGGTGTGTATATATGTGCTTGTACATGTATGTGTAGTGTGACCTAAGTGTAAGTAGAAGTAGCAAGAAATACCTGAAATCTTACATGTTCATGAGACAGAAAAAAGGATACCAGCAATCCTACCATGGCTACTGAGGCCTTTATTTATTCAGATTATAGAGGAAGTTGCAGCCGTTGAGATATCCTCTGCTAAAGCTCTCCATGCTTTAAAAGCTCACCTGCATATGTAAATCTCTGTCATACAGACACTCTCCGCGCATCAAGAGCTCTACTGGAAGCGACAACTTTTCAAATATTGCTCTGCTAAAGTTCTCCAGAGTTCAAGAGGTCGGCTGGATGTGCAGACACACTACTAACCCATCAAGTGTTTTGTTGAAAGTCAGACAAATGGCAAACAATGATAGAATATGATTTTAGAAGCAATGAACAGTGTGTATAATAAGCAGTGTAGTTAACACTTGTTATGTAGTCTACAGTGTGAAAATTGTTTAGAAAGGTAAGTGTATGTTAAAGAGGAATATGTTTGCCAAATCCAACGGTACACAGTGCCGAGAAGATAAAAAAATAAGACACATATACAATACCTGGGTATCTTTTTTGGAGGAAGTTTCGGTAACATTCCTTTGTTCATCTGGCGGTAAATGAGAGCAAGTCGATTGTTGTGGGTCGCATCCTGGGATAGTACCTAAGGACCCAGGAGGAAATAAGTCTCACCGCTCAGCTTTCTTGGTTTATCCTGAGTCATGAACTCTCCCAGGATAATAGTCCTAATAGCATCACATCTAGCACTGCCAATTATCAACATTAACCACTACGAATGTTAGCAAGCAATATTTTTTTCCTTCGTCATTATTAGCCTAGGTGGTTGAATTTGCAACAGAGATTTGCATTCGTTCATTTTTTGTTAGTGGATGAGGTTACAGGTTTAGCTAGGCCTACTGCATCTTTTTTTTTTTTTTTTGAGTTCATACCAGTGGTTGGCTTTCTTGGTTTATCCTGCGTTATTATCCCTCCGGGATTACTAATCGAAATAAAAATTTCTTTGGACTCCTTTTGTTTCTCCTACGGGAGATGTGGTTCAAGGATGGCTCACTGTCTTCCCTGGATTTAGGGGGACACCACTGGTTTATTAAGGCCAACACTGGTTTATTCATTTTAATTAATAATAATTAAAGCGTATTAACTACAGGAGGGTCATTAACTAAGTCACATAAAATATGGTTATGTTTCTTAAGTTGAAGGAGTTAATGGATTCTATCCACAGTATTATTCTTCAAGGAAAAATGGCTGTTTTTGTTTTTCCTTTCCGTGAGGGAGTTAATTATTAATGGACTCTGTTCATGACTTACTTAGTCAAAGTATATTATATGACTGTTTTTCATCAAAAGTTTATGGGCTCTGTCCACAGTTCTATTTAAAGAAAATGACTACAGATTCTTCCATGGAAGGACTTACACTGTCAACACACACTCAGTCAAGAAAATTTTCGACATTTTCAAGAAGTTATGGACTGTCCTGCTTTAAAAGTACATATAAAACTAAAGTAAATTAATTTGCTTTATTCCCACTCAGTGGATCATAACAGTTTTCAGGCAGTGGACTCTTTGTTTACATGGTCATATAGTGAACAAACTCAGTGGATTATGTCCATTTCTCTCTTCATCAACTTGCTTTTAATAATTGTTTATTATTGGCAGCCTAGCTTCCATTAAACACACTAGGTTAGGTTAGGTAAGGTTCGTCAGGAAACAGGACAAATGTTTCCTGACGCGGGTCTTAGTCAGATGATGACCCGCCTTTGGAGCTTTTGGTCATCTGACCGAGGCCTTCCGCTGGCTTACCGGTCCACCCCTTTAAAAATTATGGTCATATATATTAAACACACTGAATCAGAAGAACTTGCTGTTGATGAAACATTTTAGTGGTAGCTTACTGCCACGAAAAATACCCATCCATTTTTAGTGGTAGCTGGAAATGGGCTCTTGATCTAGGGAACTGAATCTGTGCTTTAATTCCCTGAATACCTTCCATAACCTCCCCCTCACAGGCGCCGTATAATCCTACGGGTTTAGCGCTCCCCATGAATATAATAATATTTTACTAGGCTACAGAAATTAAATATGTTGGAATTATAACCAAAAATTAATTTCTTATATAACATGCCTCGAATATAAGCGGCATATTAATATATGAATATGAGAACATAAAAAATGAGCACTGCGTTAGGCCTACTGGCCTATGGTAGGCAGATATATATATATGAAGATTTTGTAATATGCTCAGTATTTACCAAATAATTAGCATACTAAGGCAGAGCTGAACGACCCTTATGGGTTTAGCGCTTAGTTACGATTGTAATAATAACGAAGGAAGGCGGGAGGGGGAGGGGCAGGAATCTGACTCCTTAAAAAAAAATGGCAGAATTCTGCAAAATAATATATTAGTGTTGTATTATCAGGGACACGCGTTATATTTTTAATAGGAGGAACTAAACCCGTGTGGTTTAGTAGAGGCGCAAGGATAGTGGGTGAAGGCTCGATCCTCCGTCCGTTAATAAATGCCCTATCTCCAAGCATCAGGCTGCCGTCTAGTTAACCTTCTAGTAAATATGTACCTGTGTGTCTGCTACACTTGTTACTTTGTAGTAAACAGGTACTTGTTTTAGCTTCCATGCACCTGCCGTCCCAGTTACCTGGTATTAAATAGGTACCTGGGTGTTACCCTCCGTGCGCCATCTGTCCAAGTTAACCTAGTAGTAAATAGGTACCTGTGTTAGCCTCCGTGCACCTACTTCCCTTGTCACTTAGTAGTAAATAAGTACCTAGGTGTTAGTCTCCGTGCACCTGCTACACATGTTACCTAGTAATAAATAGATGAATGGGTGTTAGCATCCGTGCACCTGCTGTCCTTGTTACCTGGTAGTAAATAGGTAACTGTGTGTTAGCCTCCGTGCACCTGTTGCCCTTGTCACCTAGTAGTAAATAAGTACCTGAGTGTGAGCCTCCGTGCACCTGCTACACTTGTTACATGGTAGTAAATAGGTACCTGGGTGTTATTCTCAGTATGCCTGATGCCCTTGCTACCTAGTAGTAAATAGGTACCTGGGTGCTAGTCTCCTTGCACCTGCTGCCCTTGTTAGCTAGTAGTAAACAGGTACCTGGGTGCTAGTTTCCATGCACCTGCTGCACTTGTTACCTAGTAGTAAATAGGTACCTGTGTGTTAGCCTCCCTGCACCTGCGGTAAACCCGTAAGAATCATATATAGTTAATGGTTAATTAGGATATTAATACTGCATGTCACCTATGTACCATCGGTCAAGATCACTTTAAGGTCATCAGGTTTGAGGTGAAGAACGAAAAACGGCTCCAATTCCGTGGATCAAAATCCATTCACCAACAACAAAGAATTTTCCCTTTTGGCGGGATATTAAATAAGGGTATTTCCTTTAAGATAAAATACCCAGCAATTTTAACTCTAATCTCAAATGTTTCTTTAACTAATGGTGATATAACGTTTTAGATTTATTTAAGTATCATATTCTTTGCTAATCCCTGAATGAATACATGTTCATGGAGATTTTTGAGGAGATTTTTGTATATTGTTTAAACTAAAAGATTAGCATTACAGGCTATCACTTACTACGTTAATAATTGATATGTTTTTATCACTTGTGCCGCTACTAATCAGAATTCATTTATTTATTTTAGCGCGAATATTCAGCCAATTAAAACCTTGCTCTCTGCATGACATAACGAAATCTAACACCACCTCTTAATGCCATCAACCAGCCAATGAAGAATCAGACAGCTGCTATAGATCAACTAATCAGAGTGCTAGAAATCTATGACGTCACAATTTTGGGAGGTTGAGGAGCGCGGGAGCGCCATCCTCCCCCACTAGCTCCCAGAAGATCTTGGAAGGAGGGTACCTGCTGCTGCGGTACGCATTTTTCTTAAATTTCTCTTAAATATTTGGTCAATGTCACTTTAAAGTACTTTAACAATGTAGTGTACACACTGTAGTTATAATCGGATTAGTAAAACCAAGAAATTTACGAAAATTCAGAGATATGATTTTTTTTTTTATTTTCAGGAAGGCTGCTCCTCACCCCCTCCCCTGGTGATGCTGCTGTACCAACTGCATCTACACTTGAGGTAAATATCAAGCATATGACTATATACATTTTAATGTGGCTACGTATTCTATTTTAAGGATTGTGTGATGGTATATATTACATCACGGTATATATAATAGTACATGCTTTTGTGTGTATGTATTTATATATATATATAATATATATATAATATAGTATATATATATATAGTATATATATATATTATATATATATATATATATATATATATATATATATAATAATATATATATATATATTATATATATATATATATATATATATATATATATATATAATATATATATATATATATATATATATATATATATATATATATATTATATTTATCACTGGCCGATTCCCACCAAGGCAGGGTGGCCCGAAAAAGAAAAACTTTCACCATCATTCACTCCATCACCGTCTTGCCAGAAGGGTGCTTTACACTACAGTTTTTAAACTGCAACATTAACACCCCTCCTTCAGAGTGCAGGCACTGTACTTCCCATCTCCAGGACTCGAGTCCGGCCTGCCGGTTTCCCTGAATCCCTTCATAAATGTTACTTTGCTCACACTCCAACAGCACGTCAAGGGTTTCCCTGAACCGCTTCATAAATGTTACTTTGCTCACACTCCAACAGCACGTCAAGTATTAAAAACCATTTTTCTCCATTCACCCCTATCAAACACGCTCACGCATGCCTGTTTGGAAGCCCAACCCCCTCGCACAAAAAAAACCTCCTTTCCCCCCCTCCCCCCAAACCTTTTCCGGGCCCCTACCCCTCCCCCCGCCTTCCCCCCATACGGGACTGATACACTTTGAAGCCTTTTTTGCCCCTTTTCTATCTACATTTATATAAAATTATGTTATTTATACAAATATTTTAAATTTGTAAAAGTCTTTTTGATGGTATTTTAATATTGTTTTAAATATGGTATATATACAAAGTATGTTGAAACATTTTAATATTAGGGTTTTTTATAGTAGTGCTGGAATGTGTGATGGTATATACTTTAAGGGTTTTATTTTTATATTTTGTATTTATATATATTATATAATAATGTTTTTATAAAAAAATATATATATATGGAAAGTATATTTTATTTTTTGTTATATAAAATTGTATAATATTGCTGTATAGTCCTTGTGGCTTAGCGTTTCTTTTTGATTATAATAAGGGATAAAAATTTTTGTATTATTATATATAAAAATTTTTTATATTTTAAAATGTTATAGTTTTAAATGAAAGGGTATATAAATAGGGAAATATAGTATATATGTAATAATTGTGTATATTTAAGAATATATAACTATGTAATTTTATATATTTTATTTTTTAATTTTATATATTATAAAAATTTTATATAGGGTTATATTTGGGGGGTATTTTTGTTATTATATATCTATATAAATATATGTATGTATTTAAAATTTTTATGTTTATTATATTTTTTAAAAATAATATATTTTTATTATATAAATATATATATATATTATATAATGTTTTATATATTTTAAAATTTTATTTTGATATATTTTAATATAAAATTATATATATATATATAATATATATATATATATATTTTAACTATATTTATGAAATATATATATATGTAAATATATATTTTATATATAAAATATAATATATTTTATTTTATATATATATTATAAATATATGTATATTTTTAAAAAATTTTGTATAAATAAAATTTTAAAATATATTTTCTTTAAAACACGGGGGCCCGGGAATCCCATTTGGGTTTGGGGGGGCCCAAAAAAGGAAAAAACAAAAGTTTCTCCTTTTACATTTAGAAATATTACAGGAGAAGAGGTTCTAGCCCCTTGTCCCGGCATTTTAGTCGCCTTTTTACAACACGCATGGCTTCGAAGGAAGATTCTGTTCACTTCCATGGAGATAAAGGAAATAAACAAGAATAAGAACTAGAAAGAAAATAGAAGAAAACCCGAGGGGTTTTATATATGTGCTTGTACATGTATGTGTAGTGTGACAAAGTGTAAGTAGAATAGCAGCGTACTGAAATCTTGCATGTTCATGAGACAGAAAAAAGGACACAGAAATTTAAACCATCATTTTAAAAAATTACAGGCTTTGTTTTACACTCACTTGGCAGGACGGTAGTACCTCCTGGGCGGTTTGCTGTCTCCCAAACCTATATAAAATAATTATATATATATATATAATATATAATTATATATTATATATAATAATATATGTATTGTATATATATGTATATTTATATGTATATATATATGTATATATATGTATATTATATATATATATATATGTATATATTATATATATATATATATATATATATGTATATATATATTATGTATATATATATATAGGGTATATATAATGTAATAAATATATGTATTTATATATATATATGTATATAATATGTTTATTTTTTATGTAAATAATTTATTATATAAGTGTTATATATATATATTATGTATATATTTATATATATAAATGTATATATATATATATATATTTTATTATATATATATTATGTAATATAATATATGTATTTGTGTATATATTTATGGTATATTGTATGTATTTTTTGTATATATATTGTATATTGTATATATGTATGGTATATTTTATATTGTATATATGTGTTATATATATGTATATAAATATATATTGTATATGTATGTATATATATATATGTAATATATATATTAGACAGAAACCACCCAGGGAAGTACTCCCGTCCTGCCAGATGACTGTGAAACAAAAACCTTAACTGTTTTGCAGGGATGGTAGGATTGCTGGTTTCTTTTTCTGTCTCATAAACACGCTAAGATAACAGGGATATCTTTCTACTCCTACTTACACTTTGGTCACACTTCACAGACACGCACATGCATATATATATATACATACATCTAGGTTTTTCTCCTTTTTCTAAATAGCTCTTGTTCTTTTTTATTTCTTCTATTGTCCATGGGGAAGTGGAAAAGAATCTTTCCTCCGTAACCCATGCGTGTCGTATGAGGCGACTAAAATGCCGGGAGCAATGGGCTAGAAACCCCCTTCTTGTATAAATTACTAAAAAAGAGAAAAGAAAAACTTTATAAAACTGGGTTGCTTAAATGGCGTGGATTATGCGGATGACAAGAAACAGATGATGCTGATGTTATAATAAAAAGAATTTGGATGTCCTGGCCCTAAGCAAAAAAAAAGCTGAAGGGGGTAGGAGATTTTTTCAGGGGGGGGAAAAAAGGGGATTAAATCTGGGGTATCTGAGAGAGTTAGAGCAAGGAAGGGGTAGCATAATGTTAAATGATCAGTTATGGGAAAGGGGAAAAAAGAATTGAATGTTAAAAATTTAAGAATTATTGGATTAAAGTAAAGGTTGGATGCGAGAAATGGGGCATAATAAGCGGTATGCACCTGGAGAAGAGAGGAATGCAGAGGAGAAGAGAGATTTTGGGGGATGTTAAGTGAATGTATAGGAGCCTTTGAACCCAAATGAGAGAGAATTGTGGTAGGGGACTTGAATGCTAAAATGGGGAAAATTTTAGGAAAAGGGGTGTGGTAGGTAAGTTTGGGGTGCCAGGTGTAAAAATAATGGGAGCCCTTTTATTGAACTTTGATAGAAAGGGGTTTTTTGTTTTTAGGTAATACATATTTTAAGAAAAGGGATAATAAGTATAACGATATGATGTAGGGCAAATGACAGTTTTTTGGATTATGTATTGGTAATAAAAACGTTGATAAATTCAGGGTGTACTGTTTATAAGGGGGCCACAGATATATCGATCCTTTCTAGTTGTAGCTACCTGAAGTAAAAAGGGGAATGGGATACAAAGGGGAATAGAAGCATCAGGGGAAAAAGAGGTGAAGGTTTATAAACAAAAGAGGGGCGTTAGGGTAAGATATAAACAGCTATTGGAGGATGATGGGCTAAGAGACATAGAAAAGGGGTCAAGAGGTATGGGGGGTTTTAAAATGTAGTGTTAGGGGTTTTTCAGCAAAAGTTGTGGTTACAGGAAAGGGGTGCGGGGGGGAAGGGGAGCGATTGGGGAATGATGATGTAAAAAGTAGAAGGGAAAAAAAATTTAGCATAGAGAAGTTTTTTACAAAGTAAAGTGATGCAAGGGGGGAAAGTATAGGGAAAAAGAAAATTTTAAGAGAGGGTAAGCATTAAAAAGAGAGCAAATGGAGGTGGGGAATTTTCAACAATTTTTGTTGAAAATAAGAAAAAGTTTTGGAGTGAATTAACAATTAAGAAACCTAGAGAACAAATGGATTTGTCATTAAAAAAATAGAGAGGAGAGTTTTTAAAATGGAGGTTAGATTTTTGGGGAAGATGGAAGGGAATATTTTGAGGAATTTGTTAAATGTTGATGAAGAAGGAAGCGTGATTTCGTGTATAGGGCAAGGAGGAAAAATCTTGTGGGAGTGAGAAGAGCCAGTTGTGAGTGGGGGGAAGTCGTGAGGCAGTAGGGAAAATGAAAGGGGGTAAGGCAGCCCGGGGTTGATGGGGTAAAGATAGAAAATTTTTAAAAAGGTGGGGATTAGTTTTGGAGGGTTTTGGTTTTCAATTATTTAAAAAATGTATGGAAAAGGTAAGGTACCTGGGATTGGCAGAGAGCAGCATGTTCCTTTGTATAAAGGCAAAGGGGATAAAAGGAGTGCAAAAATTATAGGGGGATAAGTCTGTTGAGTGTACCTGGTAAAGTGTATGGTAGAGTTTAAATTGAAAGAATTAAGAGTAAGACGGAGAATAGGATAGCAGATGAACAAGGAGGCTTTGGGAAAAGGTAGGGGGTGTGTGGACCAGGTGTTTACAGTGAAACATATAAGTGAACAGTATTTAGATAAGGCTTAAAGAGGTCTTTGTGGCATTTATGGATTTGGAAAAGGCGTATGACAGGGTGGATGGGGGGGGCAATGTGGCAGATGTTGCAAGGTATGGTGTAGGGGGGTAGGTTACTGAAAGCAGTGAAGATTTTACGAGGATAGTGAGGCTCAAGTTAGAGTATGTAGGAAAGAGGGAAAATTTTTTTTCCCAGTAAAAGTAGGCCTTAGACAAGGATGTGTGATGTCACCGTGGTTGTTAATATATTTATAGATGGGGTTGTAAGAGAAGTAAATGCGGGGGTCTTGGCAAGAGGCGTGGAGTTAAAAGATAAAGAATCACAAAACAAAGTGGGATTTGTCACAGCTGCTCTTTGTGATGACACTGTGCTCTTGGGAGATTCTGAAGAGAAGTTGCAGAGATTGGTGGATGAATTTGGTAGGGTGTGCAAAAGAAGAAAATTAAAGGTGAATACAGGAAAGAGTAAGGTTATGAGGATAACAAAAAGATTAGGTGATGAAAGATTGAATATCAGATTGGAGGGAGAGAGTATGGAGGAGGTGAACGTATTCAGATATTTGGGAGTGGACGTGTCAGCAATGGGTCTATGAAAGATGAGGTGAATCATAGAATTGATGAGGGAAAAAGAGTGAGTGGTGCACTTAGGAGTCTGTTTGGGGACAAAGAACTTGTCCTTGGAGGCAAAGAGGGGAATGTATGAGAGTATAGTTTTTTCAACGCTCTTATATGGGTGTGAAGCGTGGGTGATGAATGTTGCAGCGAGGAGAAGGGTGGAGGCAGTGGAGATGTCATGTCTGAGGGCAATGTGTGGTGTGAATATAATGCAGAGAATTCGTAGTTTTGGAAGTTAGGAGGAGGTGCGGGATTACCAAAAAATGTTGTCCAGAGGGTGAGGAAGGGGTTGTTGAGGTGGTTCGGACATGTAGAGAGAATGGAGCGAAACAGAATGACTTCAAGAGTGTAACAGTCTGTAGTGGAAGGAAGGCGGGGTAGGGGGCGGCTAGGAAGGGTTGGAGGGAGGGGGTAAAGGAGGTTTTTTTGTGCGAGGGGCTTGGACTTCCCGCAGGCATGCGTGAGCGTGTTTGATAGGGTGAATGGAGACAAATGGTTTTTAATACTTGACGTGCTGTTGGAGTGTAGCAAAGAAAAATTTATGAAGGGATTCGGGGAAACCGGCGGGGCCGGATTTTGAGCCCTGGAGATGGGAAGTACAGTGCCTGCACCAAAGGGAGGGGTGTTAATTTCATTTTAAAAAATGTAGTGTAAAGCCCCTTCGGGAAAGACAGTGATGGAGTGTGTGGGGAAATTTTTTTCTTTTGGGCCCCCCAAACCCTGCCTTGGGGGGAATGGGCCGGTGAAAATAAAAAAAAAAATATATTTTTAAATATAATTTATATATTATAATATATTTTAAAAATTTTATATATATTTTATAATATATATATATTTAAAATTAAAATATATATATTATATATATATATATATATATGTATAGTTGTATATATATATATATATATATGCAATGTATATATTGTATATTATATATATATATATAGATATATATATTATATATATATATGTATATATATTATATATATATACTATATATATATATATATGTATATATATATATTATGTATGTATATATAATATATATATATATATATAATATTATATATGTATATATTGATATATATATATATATATATATATATATATATATATATATATATATATATATATATATATATATATATATATATATTATATAATGTAATCGACTACTGCTACTGTAGTACGGCGGTATATATGCCAGCATTGTTTGTTATTATATATATATATATTATTGCCTTAAGTTATGATTTTATGAAGGACGCTGCCTGAATACGGCCATCCCCTAACTGGGGAAATGCCTTGACCAGGGTGACAGGCTCTTGATCCATGGAATTGTGGCAGGTTGTTTATATCTGAATGCTTCCAATTGCCGAGGCACTGTGACCCTTGCGGGTTTAGAGCTGCTGTATTTTTTATTCACCCATTGCATTGGGAAGGTCTGGCTCTTGATCCAAGGCATTGGACTTGTTGTACCTGTTTAGATTGAACCTGATTGACTTCCCATTTTCCAGGCGTTTTATGCCCCTCTGGTTTATCGCTTTCCCTTGAAGATAATTACTACTTGCGAGTTTAGCGCTACAGTGCTGTTAATGGTACCAACAAGAGGTAAAATATGCGCAGCACAAAGTTATTAAAAGTTAGCGCCAGAACAGGAAATATTTGTTGCGCAAAAAGTTGGCGCCAAAAACAAGAAATGTTTGTTGCGCAAAATAAAAGTTAGCTCCAGAAACGTGTAATACATATTGGGCATTGTAAGAGTTGACGCCAAGACCAAGTATAATGCGCACGTTGCCCAAGTGTAACTAAGATGGCGCCAAAATAAGTAATGAGCGCTCTGCGCAAACGAGATTTAGCGCTAGGTTAAATTGTCTGTGAATGTAATTATGTTTAAGTGTGTTGTATATATTTATGTGATTTATATATTTAGAAATTATTAATGTAAATATATGATTACAATTTTCAAAAAGCGCTAAACCCACAAGGGTCATACAGCACTGTTATAACTTACCAAAATTCATTGCGGTGACTTTCTTATTAAAAGTTTTTAGAACCTACTTAATATGTGTAAGATAACTAACGAGTTTTAATGTTTTTCTTTTCTTTACAGAAAGACACTCGGTACTACTTAGTGCACCTAACGCAAGGTTGGTGAATATCTTAAGAGATTTTGATTTTTCGTCTTTGACCTACGACCATCTTTTCATTGTCCTGGCTCTTTGTGATCCGTACGCGATGAATGCATTTTTTTTTTTTTTCGAATTTTTAATGTAATAATTTGAAGCATTTGGTCTTGTGTGTAATAAACATTTTGGAAAGGATAAAGGGAGCCCTTCACCCAAAGGGCTGCCATCACCCTGGGTAGCCCTAAGGGCTGCTGCCACCCTGGGTAGCCCTAACAGCTGCCATCACCCTGGGTAGCCCTAACGGCTGCCATCACCATGGGTAGCCCTAACGATTGACCAAACTGGGTAGTCCTAACGGCTACCAACACCCTTGGTAGCCCTAACTTCTGCCAACTCCCTTGGTAGCCCTAACGGCTGCCAACACCCTTGGTAGCCCTAACTGCTGCCAACACTCTTGATTGCCCTAACGACTGCCAACACTCTTTGTAGCCCTAACCGCTGCCAGCACCCTTGGTAGCCCTAACGACTGCCAACACCCTTCGTACCCCTAACGGCTGCCAACACCCTTCGTACTCCTAACGGCTACCATCACCCGTTAACCATAACGGCTGCCAGCACCCTAGGTAATCCTAAAGGCTGCCAGCACCCTAGATAGCCCTAAAGGCTGCCAGCACCCTGGGCAGCGTAAAAAGGCCCTGACAGCTGCCACCACCATGGTAGCTTAATGAAAAGGTCTTTATGGCTTGATAGCCCAAACGCCTGACATCACCCTGGTAGCTTTAAAAGGTCTGCTATACTGGCTAGCCCTAATGACTACATTTATGTATTTTCTTCCACATAACCATTTTAAAAATTTGCAGCCTACCATGATTAATCTGGTAATTGATTTCTGATTACTCTTTCCATTACTGATTTGTTCAGTCCCTCATTCCAGCATTGTCAATGTCTAGCTTACAATTTTAATGTTAAATATTTTTTACAGATTTGCTATGTACATTTGAGCTCTTTATTTTTGTATAATAAATGTATTTAAAAAAAAAATTTCCCGTGCATAAAAATATTTAATTGTAATATAGAAAACATTGATACTATGTGCAGTAATTATTTTCATTTTGTAACCAAAATATTGAAGATTTAATTTTGTAACTAAATATTGGAGATTTAATGTTTGTTTCTTGGTTTATTTTTGCTTATGATCTCAAATACAGCTGCATCGTTTACCTTTGAGCTTAAAATACTCATTTCTTTCAGCCCCTTAAATATTTTTCTCTTTCAGCTCAACATGTCATTATGTTTGGTAAACATTTTTTTTTCTTTCAGCTTTAATCCAGTTTTTTCAGCTTAATCCGTTTTTCTTTCACCTTAATCTGTTTTCTTTCAGCTTGATCTGTTTTTCTTTCAGCGTATACCATTTTCAGCTTAATTTTTCTTTCGGCCTAATTCATTTTTCTTTCAGACTAATCCACTTTCAGCTTAATTCATTTTTGTACCTTAATCCGTTTTTCTTTCAGCGTATTCAATTTTCTTTCAGCCTAATTCATTTTTCTTTCAGCTTAATTCATTTTTCTTTCAGCCTAATTATTTTTCTTTCAGCCTAATTATTTTTCTTTCAGCCTAATTCATTTTTCTTTCAGCCTAATTAATTTTTCTTTCAGCCTAATTCATTTTTCTTTCAGCCTAATTCATTTTTCTTTCAGCCTAATTCATTTTTCTTTCAGACTAATTCATTTTTCGTTCAGTTAATACAGTTTTCTTTCACCTTAATTTATTTTTCTTCCAGCCTAACCCATTTTTCTTTCACCTTAATACAGTTTTCTTTCAGACTAACTCATTTTCTTTCAACTTATTACATTCTGAATACTGTTAGTATACAACATAATTTTGTTGATGTATTATTAAATGTTTAATAATTTTAATATAAAGCATAATTTGCTGATTCCAGTTTTGTTTCTGGTGAATGACCAATTTTTTTTGTTTACAACCTTAATCTGTCATTTTTTTTCAGCTTATAATTCTTTTCATTATTAACGTTTCTTTTAGAGTTGCAACTATTGTATTACAGCCTTAATAACCTTTTTACCTTGCAACTGATATGCATGAATCTTATTGTATCAGCTTTCATCCAAGTAAGTTTTTCTTTTATCAGTTTTCACATTGTTTCAGTCTACTTTTTTTTTTTACAGTACTGAATTTGATAGTACTAATATTCAAATGATATTCAGGTATACTAACATTCTTGAGCATTTCCGTCTGTGATAAACTGTTACGAGCAGTATAATTTGTTTAACATTGGACAAATGTATTGTCAGCATAATTTCACTAATTTTCAGAATTGGTTATTAAATGAATTAGTATGAATTACTAGTTTAAAAATAAATTACGTTTTCAGACATCCATTAACCACTACTCAACACCAAGCTTCTTGTTGACCGTCAATGCCAGTGAGCAAAGATATCTGCTATGGATGCCTTAAGGGGCAAAAAATAAGTGCTTAACAGAAACTTTAGGCCACAGCGCGATATGTAATAAGAATAATTTATGTTGTAAGTATTGCTCACCATTTAATTACATTTTGTGATACTGAAAGCAAAGGTAGAATATAAGGGAGAAATTAAATTTGCTGTTTATATTAGGCTGTTATTCGAGGCTTGTCTGTTGTGGCAATCCTTAAGAAAATTCTTGAAACGTAGTTATAAGTTTCATTGCCTGTAACTGAATGGCATTAGAGTTAAGGAATTGATGTGTAAAATATATAACAAACCATGTAGGTGTTGATTATAGTTCACTTGTTGAATGGGCAAGTTCTGTATGGAAGGCTTTGATGTTTCAAAACAGTAGAGTGAGAACAGTGAAAGTTCTGTATTAGGTGATGACGACAGTAAAATTTGAAACGAGTATTGTAGATGGGAAGGGTCGAGTAGTATGGAAATAAATAAAGGATGGTAATAAATATGTTAGGTGATCATTAGTAGAAAGGCTGTCTGGTATATAGATTGAAGGCATTAGGTGATGCATTGAGGCATCTGTGGCAACAAACCAGGTTATACATGGAGGCAAAAGAAGTTTTAAGAGAATAGTGGTACCGACATTTATATAGGTGTAAAACAGGTTGTGAATTTTGCAGCAAGGATGAGGCTGGAGGCCGTGGGGATATCTGAGGGCAATGTGTCCTGTAAATATGCAGAGTATGGAGGAAGTGAATATTTTCAGATAGTTGGGAATGGTCTAGCGCTTCTTTTTTATTATAATAATAATCAGATAGTTGGGAGTGGGCATGTCGGCAGATATGTCTATGAAGACTAGGTGAACCATAAATTGATGAAGGAAAAAAAAGATAGGTTGTGTGTTCCGGCATCTGTGGAGACCACGTTATACATGGAGGCAAAAAGGCCACGTTATACATGGAGGCAAAAAGGTGAAGGTTTAGATAATAGATGTACAAACACACTAATATGGGTGGAAAGTATAGGCTGTGAAATTTGCAGCTCGAAAGAAGCAGGAGATATTATGGAGGAAGTGTGTGTGTTCCTGTTTGGGAATGAACTTGTCGGCGGATGGATCTAAAGGCCGAGGTGAACCATAGAATTCATGAGGGAAAAAGGTGGGTAGTGCATTGAGACATCACGTTATGCATGGAGGCAAAAGAGAAGTTTTAGAGAATAGTGGTACCATCATTTATATAGGTGTGAAGCATAGGCTGTGAATTTTTCATCGAGGAAGAGGGTGGAGGCCGTGAAAATACCTGAAGGCAATGTGTCCTCTAAATTTGCAGAGTATGGAGGAAGTGAATGTTTTCAGATATTCAAGAGTAGACTTATCGACGGATAAGTCTATGAAAAATGAGGTGAATCATAGAATTGATGAATAGGGAAGAGGTGGGTGATGCATTCTGGCATCTGTTGAGACAGGCAAAAAGGGAATGTTTAGTTAATAGTTGTACCAACACTCTTATATGAATGCGAAGCATAGACTGTGAATATTGCAGCGAGGAAGAGGCTGGAGACAGATATGATCCCAGGCAATGTGTACTGTTAATATGCAGACTAAGGAAGAATTGAATGCTTTCTGATATTTGGGAGTGGACTTTTCAGCGGAGGTCGATTAAAGACGAGGTAAACCACAGAATTGACGAGGGGGGGAAGTGGGTGGTGCATTCCGGTATCTGGCGACAAAGAGGCTGGAAGTGGAGATCTCCTAACTGATGGCAGTGTGTCGTGTAAATATGTCGAGTATGGAGGAAGTGAATGTGTTCTCATTTGGGAGAGGACTTATCGGCGGATAAATCTAGGAAGACTAGGTGAACAATAGAATTATATGAAAGGGAAAAAAGGTAGGTTGTGTGTTCTGGTATCTGTAAAGACAGCATCTTATAAATGGAGGCAAAAGAGAAGAAATTTTAGAGAATAGTGGTACCATCATTTATATAGATGTAAAGCATAGACTGTGAATGTTGCAGGGAGGAAGAGGGCGGTGGAGGCCGTGGAGATACCTGAGGGCAATGTGTCCTCTCAATATGCAGAGTATGGAGGAAGTGAATGTTTTCAGATATTTAGGAGTAGACTTATCGACGGGTAAAGGCTATGAAAAATGAAGTTAACCTTAGAATTGATGAAGAGGGAAATGGTGGGTGATGCAATCTGGCATCTGTAGAGACCGAGGCAAAAAGGAATGTTAAGCTAATAGTTGTACCAACACTTATGTGGATGTGAAGCATAGGCTGTGAATTTTGCAGCGAGGAAGAGGCTGGAGACAGATATGATCCCAGGCAATGTGTACTGTTAATATGCAGAATAAGGAAGAAGTGAATGCTTTCTGACATTTGGGAGTGGACTTTTCAGCGGATTGTTCGATTAAAAACAACGTGAACCACAGAATTGATGAGGGGGGGAGAAAGTGGGTGATGCATTCCGGCATATGTGGCGACAAAGAGGCTGGAGGTAGTGGAGATGTCCTAGCTGAGGGTGGTGAGTCTTGTAAATATGCCGTGTATGGAGAGCAGTAAATGTGTTCCCATTTGGGAATTGGACTTATCTGCGGATAAATATGAAGACTAGGTGAACCATAGAATTGATGAAGGGGAAGAAGATAGGTGGTGTGTTCTGGCATCTGTGGAGACAGCACGCTATACATGGAGGCAAAAAGGGGAATGTTTAGTTAATAGTTGTTACAACACACTTGTATGGTTGCAAAGCTTAGGCTCTGAATTTTGCTGCTGGGAAGAGGCTGGAGACTGTGTGATTATTATGATAAGGCAATATTTCCTTTTAATATGCAGAGTATGGAGGAAGTGAATGCTTTGTGATATTTGGGAGTGGAGTTATCAGTGGATGGGTTGAAAGACGAGGCGAAAAAAGGTGGGTGCTGCATTCCGACATGTGTGGCGACAAAGAATGTTAACCATAGTTCCAAAAAGGGAAATATTTGAGAGAATAGTGGTACCCAACACCTCTATATGACTATATGATTGTGAAGCATGGTTGTGCATTTTACAACAAAGAAGAGGTTGGAGGCAGTGGAGATATATCCGAGGGCACTGTGTCGTGTAAATATGCAGAAAATTTGTAGTGGGAAAATAGGAGAAAGTGAGGGGTAACTATAAGTATTATCGAGAGGCTTGAGGTGGTTGGACATTTAAAGCGAAATAGGATAGCTCGGAGGGAGTATAAATCTAGTGGATAAGTTGGAGAGAGGGGCGGTGGTTAAGGAAGTTTTAATGCGATTGGCTTGGATATTCAGTAGGCGTGTGCGAGCGTGGTAGATAATGAGTGGAGTCTAGTTTTTATAACTACGTGCTGTAGGGATGTAGGGAAACTGTCTAGCCGGACTTGAGTTCTGGAGGTGGGAAGCAGAGTGCCTGCACTTTGATGGAGAGGTGGGGATGTTTGTACTTTGGAGAGATATCCGAACTATAGTATAGGCGCGCCTCTGGTAAGATAGTGATAAGAGTGATTGAAGTGTTTCCTCTATCGGGACACCTTAACTTGACGGGAGACGGTCGTTGTGTTAAAAAAAAAAGTTACATTCCTACGAGCGCTGAACCCATAGGAGTCGTACAGCAATTGTAGGAATGGGAAGCAATCTAAGTTGACTCCAGGGAAAGGTTCAAGTTGGAAAAAAATAGAGAAAGGATATGGAAAGCATTGGTTTGGTGATGGAGTTGTGGATGAGGTGAACAAACTCCCGAGTAGCATAATTGAAGTTACAACCTTGTGTAGCTTTGAAAAAAAGATTAGATAATTACATAAGTGGATTTGCGTTGGACTTGTCTAGCTTGGGCCAGTAGGCCTGCAGCAGTGCTTCTTTCTTATGTTCTCATAAAGTACTTCTCTTGAGGAGTATATGGTCTTCATCGTGGGAATTAACTCATTCCCCAGTGTTACTGCAATAAAATGGCTTGTTTTTTTTTCCAACGATCGAGTTGGACTGTTCATACTTGCCTTTAGTAAAAGACT